AGCAATACAAAACCAAGCCAAACTTAGAAATTTAATTTAAAAGTTTTGAAAAGAACATGCTAACTCTTTGTTTTTAAATAATTTTCAAGTTGCTTGATTTAAAATATTTTCCAAGACCATATATACAACTATAAAACATTTATTAGTTTTTTTATTTATTTTTTTTTATTTTTTTAACTCTTTCATCCTTAGTGATTTTTTTCTACTTTAACGGGCTTTCTAAGTGACCTTTTAACGAGTTTTGGGCCAATGGATCCCAACCCAAATGGGCTTAGGTCATTAAGTATGGAAATACTCCTTGGGCTTAAATACTCGGTCAGCTTAGGCTTTATAAGATAGAATCACCTTGAATTCAAGAGTTTTTTTATTTATTTTTGGTGCCCATTTTTCGCACTCTTCTTTTGTTTTTGTTTTTTTGTATATGTATATATATTTTGAAAATATGTAAATCAAGACACTTTGAAAAAAATTATTTTCAACTCTAAGTTAAGCATGCAAAAATTTCATTATTTTAAATAAAAGTCCAAGTTAAGGCTTAAGTAAAGTATACTACTTTGAAAATCATTTCTTAAGAAATTTATTTAGAGTTATCATAAAAGATGAACTTAAGTAAATAACCAACTAGGGATTAGAAAATTTCAAATTTATCAAATAAATCAATTATTATATAACTCTATCAATTTGGCAAGTGACGATATTTTTATAAATTTTTTTAAGGAAAAGAAAAAAAATGACAAAAATGCACTAAAATTGTAAAATAAAGAGAAAAAAAATAACTAATTCCCACCCCCACACCTAAATTTTGCATTGTCCTCAATACAAACTCTATGATGCATAAAGTAAAGCAGATAAGAAGTGAAGCACTTACATTTGGTTCGCTGATAAAAATCTGCAATTACCTTTGCTCTGAGGAGGAGGAAATCAAACATTTATTCTTTTCTTGTTTTTTTTCCTCTTTTTTTTTCTTTTTTTTTCTTCTTTTTTTTCTTTTTTTTAACAACTGAACAAAAAACTCTTAAATGAGAGAAGAATAAATTCTTTTTATTATTCTGAAGTAAACAAAATAATCAATGTAAAATGAAATATTCAACATGAAGAGTTCATGTTCTACATTGAATCCTACCTTATTGCTGAAAATTCTCCCACGGATTTTAAATAAATTCAACATGATATAATCAACAATGTGCTGAAATTCTAAGTATTCCGGGGTGTTCAATGATTTTTTTGGCAATGAAAGGTAGGTATTATTGGTGTCATGCATATTGGACTCAGATTCTTGATTTGTGAATGTGTGTTCTCTAACAACCAATTTTTCTTTAACAATTTTCTCAACCCCAGGATTCATGGTTGATGTGTAAAAATTTGGTTGTTGTTTATTTTTCAAAAATCTTAGTTCATCAAGAAAGAGTTTTTCAAAATTCAGTTCAAAGCAGCAATTGTCCAACACAGTTTCTTTATTTTGACAAACCCGATCTGCTTCTCCTAATATTTTTAGCTCCTCACCGAAAATTTTCTCAAAACTTAGATCTGACTCTTTTTCTTCTTCTTCCCCCGGTCTTTCTTGAATTGAATTATCAGGGGAAGAATGAATTGGAACAATAATTTGTCTTAGAGGTGTTCTTTCCTGATTATCGACCTGTTTTCCTGACTGTAGTGCATTCATTTGAGTGTCCTTAGGATTGACCACGGGTTGACTCAAAATTTCTCCTTCCTCTTCTTCACTTATGGCACTAGCTAGTTGATCAATGTGGGTTTCTAATCTAGCTATAGCTTGAGTGTTAGAGTTAAGTATGAGTTCGGTTGATTGCATAAAGGAGTTCATCGTGTAGGATGTTTGAGTTAACATATCCATGGCTAGTGTGGAGGCCTTAATTATGATTTCAAAACCTTTTTCCAAAATATTGAGACGTTCATCATGATCTGTATCAAGAGGAGTGTGAGTTACAACTTGATGATGAGGAGACTGATTTTGATGTGACAGACTGGGTTGTTGAAATTGTGGATGAGAATTAAAAGGAACTGTATTTTCCCTAGGAAAATGTTGGGTCGAAGAGGGAGTGAAGTTTTGAGTTTCGGAGTGGTTTCCCTGATTCCATGCAATGTTTGTGTAACTTGCCCAACCTAGGTTGTAGGTTGAAAAAAATAGATCATTCACCAAATACTGAGATGGACTCTCTACAAACTCCCGAGCTTCATTGGAGATTTCAATCCTATTGGGATAACATAAATTTTGGAAAACTTGTGGATTAGCCATTTGTTCAAAATGAATTTGTCCACGTTTTGCATGCACCAAAAACAATTTCTTTTTATATAATTTTTTTTTCTTTTTGGAAAAATATTTTTTTAGAAAAATAAAAGTTAGTTTTTTTTAAGAAGAAAATGGAAAATCCTAACTAAAACAAATCAAAATCAATCACTTTTCAATCACTCTAACTCTAGGGTTAAGCCTAACTCAACTAGACTAGCTCCTAACCAAAAATTCCTTAAGTGAAAAGATAAAAGTTTTACCCGGGTAGTTAGCCAGGTAAGGATGGTACTAGAGGGTGATCAGAGATCAATTAAGTACCTCGTTCCTTACGGAGCGCTTTACGCAACCCCTAAACCTTGCCTTAGACACCAACTAATCTGAGAAAACTTAAACCGGTTCACTTAAGGATTTCTTGTTCCTTATTGAGCTCGAATCCTTAGGGGCCAACGTCTAATGAGTTTTATTAGGCTTGGGTGGTGTAGTGAGGAATTAGTGATTTTTGGGCTAAGGGGAGGGTGATGAAATCCCTCACCTTATCTTGATTACGGGGTTTTGCCCTTAAAAATATTTTTAAGTGTGTGTCAAATCAAGATGCTCAAATCACTTGGTGAATTCCTACTAACAATATAAAATGCAATCCTATGAATTAAAAGCAACTAAAAAGGATGGAAAAGAGAAAATATTTTTTTTAATTAAGGTTAACAATCAAACAAATGAGAAGGGGGGAATTTGTTTGAATTTATTATCTTGTTAATAAATGTCAAAGTGGAGGGTGAATTTTATTATGGTCAACGGAAATAAAATCTTTTTTTTAGATCCTAATTGTCACTAATTGTGAGAAACTAACTAAAGGTGTGGAATCAAAATGTAAGTGAGAGTGGATGTGACAAAGAATGAATATGATCAATAAGGCAAGAAGGAAAAGGAAAATAAAAATCAAGAATAAAGAAAATAAAATTCAAGAATAAAAGAAAATGCAAGAAATTAAAGATGGTGGATTCAATTATAGATATGGGTAATCTAAAATTGAACCAACTTCTTAGAAAAGGGTGATTCCCTATAGGGTTCTAGCCTAAAGGCGAATCAAACAAAATAAAAATAAACAAAAAGAAAAACTAAACCCAAGAGGGTTCTAGCCTCAAGGTGAATAGTATAAGAAATTAAAAAATAAATTGTAAAATCTAAACTACAAAATAAATTACAAGAATTAAATGTAAGAAAATAAATCTACTCTATAAGCATGAAATAAGTCTAAGGCAAGAGGGTTCTAGCCTCTTGGCTATTTAACAAGAAAATAAAATCTAACTATGAGCATAGAAATAAATCTAAACTAATAAGCAATAAAAAAGAAATAAAAGAGAAAAAGGAAAGAAATGCAAACCTCTAAATAATTCTTCATCTCCATCTTCATCATCCAACAAAGAGAAGAAATATTTAAAGTGGTGAAAAAAATTATTATTATTAATTACAACAAAAAATTACAATTTTGGAAGGTCTTCTCAATTAAGAGTAGTCCTCCTCTCCAAAAGGAGTTACAAAAATTTTCACACCTCTAACCCCTCACTCTCTACCCCTATTTATAGTAAACATCAGTGAATGAGAGCCATTGGATCAAACTTGAGCCCCAAGATAAGCACAATCAGCCATTGACGCACGCTACATCGATGCAGGTATCGATGCAGGCATCGATGCAGGTATCGATGCAGGCATCGATGCCCACATCGATGCCAACATCGATTAGGCGATTTTCATATATTATATGTTAAATTCCGCCTTCCGGATTAGGAGATATCGTCGTTTCTTTGTGGCCAACCATTTTGAATATGATTTCTTTTCATATTGGATTTTTGATTTTCTCCGGCTTCTACAGGCTACACGACTTGATTCTGGGCTTTTGGATAATTTGGAAATTGATTTTCCAATGTGCTTCTTTGCTTCATTTCTTCATTTAATCAATGGGTTTTTGTTGAGAGATGAGAGTTTGAGATTTATTCTTCATTAACCTGCAATTAAAAGATAAAAACAATTATTAGTGGTATATTTATTCATATAAAATAGATAATGAGGGTATAAAATTGTAATAAAATATGATTATCATACGCAAGTTGGGAGTTCTTGACATTCACTCTCCAACTTGAGGGGGAGTGTTGAGAAGGAAATGTCAATGATATCTGACCATTCATTAACAAATATATTGTATTAGTTGTATATTTGTTCAGTTGCCTTTTATACTTAGACTACCTAGAATAGATTAGCATGATTGTTGGCAATTTGTTCAGTTGCCTTTTATACTTAGACTACCTAGAATAGATTAGCATGATTGTTGGAAATCTCTTGTATAAAGCTACGTCTCCTGATTCAATAAAATTTATTCAAAGGCAATATTATTTTCCTTCTTTACAGATTTAGAAACTAGTATACTGATTTAAGAGTTCTTCTGCTTTTAGATGACCAATTGTTCGATGTACGTGTCTACTATATACATATAATTTTGTAGCTATGAACCCTAATCATATCATGATGATAACTCCATACATGCTGCTTCTCTAATTAATCTATAATAATGTCCTGTCTACAAAACAAACTACACCAACACATTTTAAATATTAGCATCAAAGCGACCTTCCCCCCTCCTTCAACAAAGGCATCCAACCATTTAGGATTCTAGTACTAAGCGGTCAAGACAAAGAAGAAAATTATTTGATACTATATATAGTTCCTTATGAGATGCGAAGTTTCACATTGACACCGGGGATCAAGAAACAGAGATCAGAAGAAAGAAGAAGATGGGTCTTGAGATCGTCGAGGAGGAAGTGAGTCCAGGGAGCGAGATGCCGTTGGTTTCGTTGAACCATGTCTCTTTTGTGGTCAGGTCAGTGAGCAGATCAGTGAGGTTCTACGAGGAGGTGCTTGGCTTTGTGAGCATCAAGAGGCCATCATCCTTCAAATTTCATGGTGCTTGGTAAGGGGCGTTGTGTTTTACGTACATGCATTCGGACTAATTCCAGATGCGGAGTCAAACTAGACCTAATAATCCAACTTGATAAAACATTTGATTCATTCAAATGTTTGCATTGGTGCTCTGCAAATTGCCTCTCTAGTGATTCTCTGCTAACTTTGCATGTTCAATAAAAATCATAGATTAAGATCGATTTTTTTTTTTCTTCGTTTTATTTGATTCTCTCTTCTTGATATATGAAGCCAATAACGTTACATTATTGCTAATGTGTTGTCGTAATTAAACTTCATAATGTATCATTGCCAACTGTATTAAACTAATCCAACTACAGTTCATGTTTCTTGTGGATATTGATAATCCAGATATCTCATGTCAGAAAGAAAGCACAAAGTTTTCATCATTTAGATCATGTTTTGCATAGTCAAATTCTTACATTTGTGATAATCTACTCAACTCATGTTGTGATGATTGCTACCACGAAATTCAGCGATAAATTCCATTATTTCCCTAATCTTGAATGCGGGTAATAAATGTAATTACCTGTTCTTCAACAACTTTGATTAAACTAAATAAACTTTGCTGCAATCTTATACAACCATAAGTTTCAAAATGAAATAATCAGGTTATACAACTATGGCATCGGCATCCACCTGCTCCAATGCAATTCTCTCGAAGAAGTCCCCAAGAAGAAGGGGGTCATAAACCCGAAAGACAACCACATCTCCTTCCAATGTTCAAACATGCACCTTCTAATTCGCAAATTAGAAGAAATGGGCATCCAATACGTGACCGCAGTGGTCGAAGACAGTGGCATCCAAGTCGATCAGCTGTTCTTTCATGATCCAGATGGATATATGGTGGAGATATGCAACTGTGAAAATATCCCGGTTCTGCCGTTGTCTTCATGTCCTCTGAAGTTTCCATATCCAAAAGATATGACGCTAAGCTCCATATATGGAAGTAAGTTTTTTTTCCTGGTTAATTGCACAGAAATCCCCTAGCAGTATCACTGTTAGTTTCCAGGGTACTTTTTTCTGACTCTTTTACCCTCAATAAACTCACTAATTTCACCTAAGGGAAATGTATGGAGGTCTATGTGCGATTAACCCTCAATAATTCCACAAATTAAACTGTTTGAATATTTAGCCCAAACATATTTTTAAATTTTTTATTCAGAACCTGTTTGAAATGTTTCAGGTAAAGGGAATCCCATGTTCCAGTCGATGTTCCAGTTTGGTTCATGTGGTGCTGAAGCTGAATCTGTCATCATGGAGGCCTTGGTCACAGACATCATGGATATCTCCTTTTGAGGATGAGGTTCAATTTGTTCGTCGATATAAAACGGAGAAGATGTTTTGAAAGATGTTGTTTATAGCATATATCAGTATTTGAATATGTGTTTGTGTAGTACAAGTTATCCGGGTCTGAGATTGCAATCATGGATTCTGATGAGTGAGCGAGATAAGGAGGTGTAGAACTTTAGTAATTCCTATTTTCCTTACTTTGTTATGTTTAAGAAAGAGAATAGAGGTGTTTGCAAATAATTTTTATGACAGGATAATAAATTTGTTACTCTTCTCCTCAGTTCTCTTTTGTATTTTGCCAATATAGCACAAGATTGCTATCTACCTGAAATTTTGGCTACAAGTAATCACCTTATGAAAACCTAAACTTAGTTATCCTATATCTTTTACGTTCAACAAGCATTCACCTCATAAAAGGGATATAATCTCAAATAGCTATACATCTTTGTTCTCAGCTCAATACAATCTTGATCAGCTGAGGAGATCAGGCGCAAAACTTCAGTAATTTTTATTTTCTTTTGTTATGTATGCATATGCAAATAACTTATGGCATGATAAATTATTTCTATATGCAATTATTTTCGCCACATGATATCTTGGTTGCTCTTCTTATTGCTTGTCTTTTGCATTTTATCAATGTGTCACTATATTGCTGCATATAAGAAAAATATGCCTCCATACATAAGCACCTTATGAAAACTAAACTTCAAACGTATGAAAGAGTAGCCTATATCTTTTACATTCAACAAAGGCTAACAACAATATAACAGCACTCACCCCATAAAAGGGGTACAAGACTTAGTCTCAAACATAGCTCCACATCCATCCACAAACACCTAGAGATCAAAGTTTCAACATCATTTTAAACAATATATTCAAATTCTTAGTAGCTGTAGTTCTTGGCGTATAGCCCTTGCTTGGATTCCTCGGACTCTCCTTCGCCTGTGTACTTGCCAAGCTGAGCGAGCGAGTTGGCCTTGGCACGCGTGAGCAGCACATCTTGAGCAGCCTTCACATTCTCAGGCACACCTCCCCATGTCTTCAGGCATGTGTTCTGCAGCGCTCTGGCGTAGGAAAATGACACGTGCCATGGGGTGGGGCTCTGGTTCATTGCGTTCAGGTTCAGCGTTGCCTCAACTTCAGATTGACCACCAGACAAAAACTGTAATCACATGGATTCAGATTGTTAGTTAGTTTTTTGAGTTTCAGAATGAAATTTTTTCCCCTAGGTAATCTTCTCATATATTATTTCAAATCTTTGATATTTTTAAAAGGGTTAATTGTGATAGAGCCACTGTGCTATCGCCGAATTGTGGATAGTCCATCTGTGTAGCTCTATTATTTTATATGATTTTTTTGCTTCCATCTGTGTAGCTCTATTATTTTATATGATTTTTTTGCTTACCATGATTCCAGGAACAGCTGGGGGGATTCTTCTGTGGAGAAGTTTCAGGGTGTACTCAGAAACCTGTTCAGGAGTTGCTCTCTCTTTGCATTCAGCCCCAGGGGTCACCATGCTGGGCTTCAGTAGGATTCCTTCGAACATGACATTGTTCTCGGCTAAGTAGAAGAAAACCTCAGCCCACACTTTCTGTGCAACCTCGAAGGTTCTGTCAATTCCGTGCTCACCATCGAGAAGTATCTCAGGCTCGACTATTGGAACCAACCCATTGTCCTGCAATGACATTGAGATGAATGAATGATCATCAATTTATCGTTTCAGCTAAATATTTAACAATATACAATGATGTTGATGTCTCATTATCAAAGTGTTGCTAAGAGGGTAAAAGTACACATAGGTTCAAATCCCACATGACACAAATTAAAAAAGGATTTTAAGAAAAATATACCGGTGCTTAAATAGGGTCAATGAAAAAGGGTGCTCAACTGACACAAGCATGTTAGAATATAAAATTATAATCCTCACAGAAACTTTAGAATTGTCGGTTGACGTGTTCGTCCAAATCTTATTTATGAAAAAATGGGAGAGAATACGTGCATCAGATGTCTATTTCCAAGAAATAGCTTCAAATGGTTTCTAGTAAGAGTCGCATAGGCGTAGATTTGGCAGTAGTCATAATTAGCTATATATGTTTAATTTATAACTGAATTAAAAAGAAATCTTCAGAAAAAGGATCTTAATTTACTTGAGCAATGGCAGCATAACGAGCAAGGCCCCATGCAGCTTCCTTCACTGCAAGAGCTGATGGCCCGTTGGGGATGCTGACCACTGTACGCCTGTAACATTCACCGCAAACACGTTATATTAGTTTCTAGAAAGGAAAAAAAAAACAAATATCAAATTAAGTGGGGAAAAAAAACTGTATTCAGCAACGTATTGGATTTTCACCATTTGGCAAAGCGAGCGCCTTGCTGATAGTAAGCAGCACAGCGGGACGCAAGTCCGTCCAGTCCTTGGCACCAGGATTCATCATTCGAGCCTGCAAGTGGCACAAGACCCTGACAGGGAACAGAAGAATCCAAGTTATTATATGAATATTGATGATCAAACAAGTTTCAATCTTTAATATAACAATCCTCTGATTTCATGAACTTATTTATTGAAGAATTATAGTGTGCTAATGTTTTTGTCTTAACTTTGGCGTAATCAAAGCAAACTATAAGTCTGAAAATGGAAATTCAAAATTTAAAATCAATAGAACATATGTAAACTTGGGAAAAAAAATCCTAGTGTGTATTAATTAATCTATTACAATAAGAAAACTAATTATTAACTAATTATGTTTCCTAAAATTTAGCTTTGGTTAGGCATACATGCATATAGAGTTCATTAATAATTGGCTTAATTTTAGAAAACCCTCCTCTCCTCAACTGTGGAGTGTCTCAGAACCCCTCCTCCCACAACTATTCTAACTAGAGTAAAACCCTCCTCGACTTTGGGGCTATTGTGGATAATCCCCCTCAACTTTGAAAATTCGACATATCCCGTAAACTAAGTGGTGTCTCACAATATCCCCTGATCTTTACAGTTTTTTTTTTCATCATAAGAATAATCATGTAAACAAAACATGATCTGTTTTAGATACTGTGGTACAAAAATACTAACATAACAAACTTTATCCAGCAAAACTACAGAAAAATAAACACTTCACAAAAAAAAAAAAAAAAAAAAAAAAAAAAAAAAAACCTCAAAAAAAAAAAAAAAAAAAAAAAAACACATGAGAATAGTCCAAATCCAACCGATAATTACCTTGTCCACCTTGATCCCAGGCATAATACCCTGACCAGTAAGAACATCAACCATCTTTGTGCCATCAACGGTCGACTGATACAGAGTTTCCTCGAATAGGATTGCACCAGAGATGTACTGACCCAAGCCAGGTGCTGAGACCAGTAGAGTCCTGTAAGCCTGTCGATTGGCCTCGGTGTTCTCAAGGCCAATGGAGGCCAGTCTCTTGCCGCAGGTTGCGTTGGATTCGTCCATGGCCATGATTCCTTTTCCTGGTGATGCTATGCTTTTCTGCACAAGTTTAAATTGTTAACGAAATCAGTTATTGGTTGAAAGTTTTAGTTGCCACTAAGGTTTATTTATAGGGTTGACTGTGGATGGACCCCTTAAGCACTGTGTTGTGTCGCTTGTTAGCCTAAAGTTTGATATGAGCAGGTTAAGGTCTAAACAAGCCCAAAGCAAATCATCTAATAAAGGTAAAAGAGTCAAAACAAAAATTCACTCAGGGGGTGCCTCCCCAATATTGTACTTAAGCGATAATAAGTGACGTAATGCAATAATACAGGGTCTAGAGCAATCAGCCCTTTGTTTATTGGTCTGAATAACCATGGGAATTTAATTTATTGAGAGTCCTTGAGAACGTCTAAATTCCTTATTCATGAGTCAATTTTTTAACACATACTTTCGACTCATGTCACATTGGTGCAAACAGAATGGGTATACGCAAACATATTTGCTTATGTATTTTACTGGACATGTATATCCATTAAATATTCCTATATGCAAGGATGAAAATACATGTGTCAAATATTTTTTTTTTTGGGATATATAGACACAGGTATCTGAGTATCCGAATTGACTGAAATTGAAATTATTTTGGTCTTACACTAGTCGATTTGAAGTTGACTTTGATGGTTCATGTTTTAGTTGCAGATTTCAGGTGCGTCACACACGTGAATGTTTTTTAAGGGTGAGAAATTCTATTTTATTTCGACAAACATTGTATCACATGACTATATCTTTTGATCCTTGATATGTCCAATATGTGTCTGTATTTACTATTCCCCTGACTCATCTATATCAAAACTTCTTATGCATATAGGGTTTCCTTATTGAATTCGAATTCTTATTCATATCCATGATTAATAAATGGATATGGATACCATAAATATTCTATAAGATCTGTATACACCTATAGGAATTATGTGCGATATGAAGATTTCCAAATAAGTTGTTCTGTTCTACTCATTTCAGTCTACAAAGGAAGGCTTCAAATCTAAAATTTATCATTTGTGACCTTTATATTATTAAAATGAACAAATCTGGATGTGCAAGAAGAAAAAGAAAATCTATAGATGAAAATTTATAGTGCATGGATCCCTGTAAACTTACTAATAACATTATGTTGGTGGTGCTTAAAGACACATGTATATTTGTGTGTCTGTGTGCGTTTCATAATTAATCTCCAATTTTTCATTAATCTGTTAAAAGGTACATACGCATATACTAGAAACACATATGTAGACTATGAAGCTCTCTAGTCAAAGTTCTGATTTAACAAGAAAGTCTCATATTCAAAACCTATCATCTCATCTTCTATTATCTAAATGGAACAAAACTGAATCTAGTGTGGATAAATCGCATGGATCTCCAAAAACTAAGTACTAATAACATATATGTTGCTGGTCCTTGAATCTAGCATGCAGGGTCATCTACAAGAAAATGATATTTTAATTAGTTGTTTAGTGAAAGACTTGCCATATCTATTTATTATAATACAACAATTCATATCTAGTCTCCCATATTCTTCATAAATATATGTTTAGACTTCGTCCTCGAGTCAGAAGCAGCTTTGACTATGCGTAGATCATAATAAACACCCTGGACAAACATCTAACCTATATTTTAATAGTTAGACGTAAACTTCGATCACATGTTATTTCTATTGCTCATATAACTATTGTCACACACTAAACTCAAATTTCTTCATAAATATACAATCTTCGAAAGTCGTTACCGCAGTTTTGACAAGCTCATCGGAGTAAGCGCCAGCGCGAACGGTGAACGAAACAGCCAAAGGCTGGCTATTTGAAGCACCCTTCGCCCCAAACCATTCTGATTTCTTAGGGAGAAATGAAGACTTGAGGAGAGTAGCAGATGCCATTTGGATGCAAGAAAAAGAAAACAGAGAAACTAGCTACTCTCCGTCTATCCCCTCAGTTCACAGGATGTTCAGTTGTGTAGACGTTGCCTAAGTAAATATAAGGGTGATTGGTAGAGTGAGGATATGAGATGTAAGGTTGAGGTTGGCCTCATCACTTGAATGGTTAGAATGTGTGATAAGCTGCCTCTTGTTTCCAATCCTTTGCTGCTTGCTCTTGGATGCATTTGGTTTTTGTCTTTGAGCTGAAATTGTTTCTGGGCCCTAAAATATATAATATATATGCCTGTGCATTTTAATTTTGATTTATTTGTTGGTCCATGTTGATGTGGGCTGTAAACAATTTCCTTTCAAACAGTAATTTCCCATGGATTCTGGTTAACTTGTGCCTTAGATTTCACTGGTGAAAATTGAGGTTCTCTGCGTTCGTTATGAAAAGAGCTAAGGCTGTTACAGAGTCAGACTCAGGTACAAGCTTGTCAAAGACTACTTACTGATGAGCCTTTGTTATCAAGGCTTTTGAGCATTGTTGACATGTGCAAGCTACGTGTTTGTACCTTAGGGGAGATTTTGGAGGTGGAAATTATAATTTTTTTGATGTAGTACTCGCTGCATATAACTAGCTAATTTTTCTAATTTTCCAAAATGCAAACGCAGCTTTTATTAAGAAAGAGTATGAAACAGATAGTCAGAAGTTTTTTTTTTTAACCAAGTTAAAAAAATTTTACAAGCTTATTCCAAAATTGTAACTCTTTCTTAGGCTGTTTCATTTTAATTGACGTACAAATTTTTAATAATAAAGAATCTAAGGAAACCTAGATGGGGTATCAGGATGACATGAATTGAAAATTTAGATTATCGAAGTGTTAAGCAAAAAATTTTAGTATAAAAGTGAAAAAATAGGTAGATTTTGGGACACTCTAATTTTGGTAACGTACATCCATCCTAGGTACGTGTCATACTTAATCTATCTTGAACTTTCTTACCCTAGGAAAGTTAATAACTTTTTTGTTTTCCTGTCTTGATATATTCATACTAATGTTAGATCTTATAAAAAACTTGAGATCTAAACCATAAAGCCATGATTAATTCAAAGAAATTTACAAGAATCAAAAGAAAAGAGCGGAAGCTTATACCTGAATCCATAGATTAAACTTGAGATGGGTTTTGGATCTTCTAACCTTAGGGTTTCTCTAGCCAAATTTCTCTCTAGATGGGAGTGAAGAGAATTAGAGAATGCAACCCTAGATTAGGGACCATAACCCCTTATTTATAGATGTTGTACATTTGTAATTTAGCCCCTCATCAAATCATAATTACAACCTGGTATCAGCACATATAACCTCATGATTATATTTAAATACCCATTAACCCAAATTGATTGATCACTTTAGTGAGTTGTCCTGAAGGATAGCAATACACACAGATTAATCATATGTGCCCACAAATAGATTTAATTAGATTTAAATCCAACAATCTCCCACTTGGGCACCATATGATTCCTTAAATTGTGTATAACCTTATGAGCTCAAAATTGCTATTACTAAAAAGGTATTTCCGAACAATCTCGTCCATTGACTATATCAATATAGGATCAAAGCGGCCATCGTTACATTTATCGTGACTCGACCCATCAATGGTCACATATACCAATACAATCAAATGTCATAGATCAATCATGGATATGCAGCATAAAAATTACATGCAATGTGGTCAGTACATGTCTATTTTCAACTGGTTCTACTTTAGTGAGGTTAAAACCAAACATAATGTAACAGAGTGTCTTAACTGAATACTTTATTCTGATCAGACAATATAACCAAACACAAAGCACCATAATTACAAACTCCCACTAAATCATGATATCCTCAAATAACACCACACCCATATGAGCAGTATGCTCATGAAAGACCTTAGGTGGCAGTCCCTTAGTAAGAGGATCAGCTATCATGGAGTTTGTCCCAATGTGCTTTTTTTTTTTGATGTAGTACTCGCTGCATGTAACAAGCTAATTTTTCTAATTTTCCAAAATGCAAACGCAGCTTTTATTAAGAAAGAGTATGAAACAGATGGTCAGAAGCTTTTTTTTTTAACCAAGTTAAAAAAAAATTACAAGCTTATTCCGAAATTGTAACTCTTTCTTAGGCTGTTTCATTTTAATTGACGTACAAATTTTTAATAATAAAGAATCTAAGGAAATCTAGATGGGGTATCAGGATGACATGAATTGAAAATTTAGATTATCGAAGAGTTAAGCAAAAAATTTTAGTATAAAAGTGAAAAAATAGGTAGATTTTGGGACACTCTAATTTTGGTAACGTACATCCATCCTAGGTACGTGTCATACTTAATCTCTCTTGAACTTTCTTACCCTAGGAAAGTTAATAACTTTTTTGTTTTCCTGTCTTGATATATTCATACTAATGTTAGATCTTATAAAAAACTTGAGATCTAAACCATAAAGCCATGATTAATTCAAAAGAGATTTACAAGAATCAAAAGAAAAAGCGGAAGCTTATACCTGAATCCATAGATTAAACTTGAGATGGGTTTTGGATCTTCTAACCTTAGGGTTTCTCTAAATCCGAATTTCTCTAGCTAGATGGGGGTGTAGAGAATTAGAGAATGTAACCCTAGGTTAGGGACCATAACCCCTTATTTATAGATGTTGTACATTTGCAATTTGGCCCCTCATCAAATCACAATTACAACCTGGTATCTGCACATATAACTCCATGATTATATTTTAAATACCCATTAACCCAAATTGATTGATCACTTTAGTGGGTTATCCTGAAGGATAGCAATACGCACGAACAATCTCGTCCATTGACTATATCAATATAGGATCAAAGCGGCCTTCGTCACATTTATCGTGACTCGACCCATCAATGGTCACATATACCAATACAATCAAATGACATAGATCAATCATGGATGTGCAGCATGAAAATTACATGCAATGTGATCAGTACATGTCTATTTTCAACTGGTCCTAATTTAGTGAGGTCAAAAACCAAACATAATGTAACAGAGTGTCTTAACTGAATACTTTATTCTGATCAGACAATATAACCAAACACAGAGCACCACAATTACAAACTCTCACTAAATCATGGTATCCTCAAATAACACCACACCCATATGAGCAGTGTGCTCATGAAAGACCTTGGGTGACAATCCCTTAGTAAGAGGATCAACTTCTTTTTTTTTTGATGTAGTACTCGCTGCATGTAACAAGCTAATTTTTCTAATTTTCCAAAATGCAAACGCAGCTTTTATTAAGAAAGAGTATGAAACAGATGGTCAGAAGCTTTTTTTTAACCAAGTTAAAAAAAAATTTACAAGCTTATTCCGAAATTGTAACTCTTTCTTAGGCTGTTTCATTTTAATTGACGTACAAATTTTTAATAATAAAGAATCTAAGGAAACCTAGATGGGGTATCAGGATGACATGAATTGAAAATTTAGATTATCGAAGTGTTAAGCAAAAAATTTTAGTATAAAAGTGAAAAAATAGGTAGATTTTAGGACACTCTAATTTTGGTAGCGTACATCCATCCTAGGTACGTGTCATACTTAATCTCTCTTGAACTTTCTTACCTAGGAAAGTTAATAACTTTTTTGTTTTCCTGTCTTGATATATTCATACTAATGTTAGATCTTATAAAAAACTTGAGATCTAAACCATAAAGCCATGATTAATTCAAAGAAATTTACAAGAATCAAAAGAAAAGAGCGGAAGCTTATACCTGAATCCATAGATTAAACTTGAGATGAGTTTTGGATCTTCTAACCTTAGGGTTTCTCTAGCCAAATTTCTCTCTAGATGGGAGTGAAGAGAATTAGAGAATGCAACCCTAGATTAGGGACCATAACCCCTTATTTATAGATGTTGTACATTTGTAATTTAGCCCCTCATCAAATCATAATTACAACCTGGTATCAGCACATATAACCTCATGATTATATTTAAATACTCATTAACCCAAATTGATTGATCACTTTAGTGGGTTATCCTGAAGGATAGCAATACACATTGATTAATCATATGTGCCCACAAATAGATTTATTAGATTAAATCCAACAATCTCCCACTTGGGCACCATATGATTCCTTAAATTGTGTATAACCTTATGAGCTCAAAATTGCTATCACTGAAAAGGTATTTCCGAACAATCTCGTCCATTGACTATATCAATATAGGATCAAAGCGGCCTTCGTCATATTTATCGTGACTCGACCCATCAATGGTCACATATACCAATACAATCAAACGACATAGATCAATCATGGATATGCAGCATAAAAATTACATGCAATGTGATCAGTACATGTTTATTTTCAACTGGTCCTACTTTAGTGATGTCAATACCAAACATAATGTAACAGAGTGTCTTAACTGAATACTTTATTCTGATCAGACAATATAACCAAACACGAAGCACCATAATTACAAACTCCCACTAAATCATGATATCCTCAAATAACACCACACCCATATGAGCAGTGTGCTCATGAAAGACCTTGGGTGACAATCCCTTAGTAAGAGGATCAACTTCTTTTTTTTTTGATGTAGTACTCGCTGCATGTAACAAGCTAATTTTTCTAATTTTCCAAAATGCAAACGCAGCTTTTATTAAGAAAGAGTATGAAACAGATGGTCAGAAGCTTTTTTTTTTAACCAAGTTAAAAAAAAATTACAAGCTTATTCCGAAATTGTAACTCTTTCTTAGGCTGTTTCATTTTAATTGACGTACAAATTTTTAATAATAAAGAATCTAAGGAAATCTAGATGGGGTATCAGGATGACATGAATTGAAAATTTAGATTATCGAAGAGTTAAGCAAAAAATTTTAGTATAAAAGTGAAAAAATAGGTAGATTTTGGGACACTCTAATTTTGGTAACGTACATCCATCCTAGGTACGTGTCATACTTAATCTATCTTGAACTTTCTTACCCTAGGAAAGTTATAACTTTTTTGTTTTCCTGTCTTGATATATTCATACTAATGTTAGATCTTATAAAAAACTTGAGATCTAAACCATAAAGCCATGATTAATTCAAAGAAATTTACAAGAATCAAAAGAAAAGAGCGGAAGCTTATACCTGAATCCATAGATTAAACTTGAGATGGGTTTTGGATCTTCTAACCTTAGGGTTTCTCTAGCCAAATTTCT